CGTTGCTTGCATCATTTAGGACAGAGCTCAAAACAGTTTACATGTAGGTCAAAAATACTACACAAGAAATAGGCACACAAGAAGGGTAATGAAGCAAGTGGTAGCTAGGGACCTTAAACATGGAAGGACCCTAAAACAAACTTGAAAAATACATCAAAAAATGACTATTTTCAGTTAGGGTCGGAGCCCAAATATGCAACCAAGAGGAGCTAATATATTGAGCAAAAATAGGGCCAAAGAGAGGGATAGAAGACTTACCCTTAAAACATGCTATCATACTGTATGCTAATTGAAACATGCCCTAATCTAACCATCATAAGCGGGTAAATAAAAAGGAGAAAGACGTGGGGTTGGAAGACATGCATAACACACACGCACACTTATTACAATTGTGCCCTCGGGCAGAGGGTCCGAATAAATAATATACAGTCCCAAATAATTACAGTCCAAATAAGTACAAAACCCTAATTAATTAACAAATTAAATTAAGAAAGCAATAAATTGGCATGCAAGCCAGGGACTGGCTCAAATCTGCTCCGAATGATGAATGATGCATGCTCGGGTTGCCTTGTGCGGAGAATCCCTCGCAATGCCCCGGTTTGCCTCTGTTTGCAATTGTTCTTGGAATGCGTGCCAAGCTCCGGAAGGCTGTCGATTTCTGATTTGCTGCAACAGAGAGCAACAAAGGGGCATGGCAAAGTATTTTCACATATGTATGCATGACTACTCTTCAGGGAGTGTAGTCCTCGGTCATCGTGCCATCAATCACGCATATCGATGCATGATGGCCGAGGAGTCGAATTGCACGACTCAATATGAAATGAATGCATATGAAAACACAACAAGACCTAACTCCATCATGGATAATTCGGAGTGTCGGTGACTGGGAATTGAGACACATCCCATCACTCGAAGTACGAAACCTCCCTCGTTTCCCATGCTCGGGCTAACGCCTATCCCAAACACAATGCAATATGCATGACATGCATGAATGCAATTCTAACATGCAACCTAGCATACGCAATGCTATGAAATGGTATACACAATGCGCGATGTAACATGGCATACACAATGCTCTAACATACAACCTAGCATACGCAATGCTATGAATTGAAATGGCATACGCAATGCACGATGGACTTACACCAACATGAGTGGACCTCAGCCACACTCACATTAGTAGCCATTGGATGAAAATGAGACACTCGAGATGCGTGCACACATGCACGCAAACCGAGGACTGAACCTAAGGCACAAATACCACTCTAACAAAACATGGCAGGGCGTGGAATATGGCATACAAGCATGCAAATTTCAGTACCAAAATATGATGCAAAACAGCCCCGAAACATGGCAATATGGTACCCGATGCCTGAAATGAGACTCGAAATACAAAACTAGGCGTATGCATTGGCCTATAGCTATATAAAGCATGCATTATTTGAACATGAAGTGTGAATACAGATTCAAAGAAGTCCCAAAAAAATCATATTTACAGTTTTAAGTAAGGCCAAACAATGAACACAAATAGGACTAAGCTAGCATGCAAAAATGGCCCCGTAAGAGAGGTAATGAAGCAAGTAACAGATGCTGGCCCCAAATGGCCAAGATCCCTTCAACAAAGTTGAAGAGGGGCTCAAAATGAAACACCTTACAGTTCACAACAAACCACGGATCTAAACACAAACAGGCCTAAAACATTGTACAAGAAATGGGCCAAAAGAGAGACAAAGAAGCTAGTGATGGTTTCTGGCCTCAAACAAAGAAGGGCCCTTCAACAAAGTTGAAGAGGGGCCAAAAACATGGTATTTTACAGTTAATGACCAAACCCAAAACAGTGCACATGCAAGCCTAAAATACTATGCAAAATAAGGCCTAAAAAGAGGTTTAAACACAAAGTGCAAAAAGGGAGCCTCAAACAGCAAATGACTCTTGATCAAACATGAAGAGAGGGTCAAAATAAGGATATTTACATCTCCGACCAGAGCCCAGAAATATAAACACAAGGGGCTAACAAAACATGCAAAAATGAGGCCAAAAGAGGGATAAAGAGGCAAGTGACAAAAGAAAGCCTCAAACAGTGAAGATCCCTTCAACAATGTTGAAGAGGGGCTCAAAATAAGGCAACTCACAGTTTATACAAAAGCTCAAAACAGTTTACAAATAGGCCTAAAATACTATGCAAGAAATAGGCATACAAGAGAGGTAAAGAAGAAAGTAGTAGCTAGAGACCTTAAACATGGAAGGACCCTAAAACAAACTTGAAAAATACATCAAAAAATGACTATTTTCAGTTAGGGTCGGAGCCCAAAAATGGAAGCAAGTATGGCTTAGAAAGCATGCAAAAGAAGGCTAGAAAAGGGAAGAAAGTGACTCGCCCTTGTAGACCAATGCTCCAACAACCTTTGAGCCAAGTTTGGGAGTCCTTCACCTCTGGAAATCAGCCTCAAGCTACTAGAATGAAGGATGGGGGCCTTGTGCTAAGGGGTGTAGGGTAAATGGTGTAGGACTTGAGAGGTTTTGATGCTTGGAAGAGAAGGAGAGGGAGATACAATACAAGAGGCTTAGGGAAAATTTTGGTAACCCTCAGATGGGAGCTGGAGCTGCTATTATGTAACGCCCTCAAAAATTAACCCATTATATATCATTGACATGCATTATTTAAAGAAGACAATTTATTAATTCATTCATCAGAGTATTACTAAATAAAGCATTACATGTAACATCGAATAAAATGCCCTACAGGCTTACATCTTTCCAAGCCAACACTTGGATTAAAAAATATGAGTTATAATCTCAATACAAGAAAAGCCCTAGGCTTGAATGTTTACTTTTCCAAACTGAGAATATCACTCCATACTCTTGAACACTAGGCAATGCTACCAGAAATTGGTCTCCACCTTCCTCCAGAGCTGCCATATTTACTAATCAAAATGTCTTTCCACAACACATGGTCCTCACCACCATATCTCCACCACCGTTTGGCTAGTAAACAATCATTGACTTCCTTCAATTTCTTAATCCCCAAACCTCCCAAGTGATTTGTTTTTGGTAACCTTCTCCCATTTTACCATACGGAGCTTCTTTTTGAGTTCTGAACCTCCCTACAAAAATCTGGCCTGAATTTTGTCCAACAACTTTGATACACTTCCAGGCAATTTAAACAATGATAGGTAGTACACTGGTAAAGAAGACAGCACTGCTTTGATCAGTGTTAACCTACCTCCAAATGATAGTAATTTCCTTTTCCAAGATGCCAGCCTAAACTTGAATTTATTGATAACCGGCAACCATGTGTTTTTCCTCTTTGGGCTGGCACCCAGTGGTAAACCAAGATACATGAATAGTATCTTCTGGATCATACAATTCAATTTTCCTGCGAAAACATTTACATCAGCCTCTTGTACACCTACTCCACAAACTGTACTTTCATAAAAATTAATCTTCAATCCAAAAAACACTTCAAAACACCTCAAGATTTTCTTCACATTTAAAATGTCATTCTCTTCCGCCTCACAAAACATAATTGTATCATCTGCAAATTGCAAATGGGTGACCTCCCTTAGGCCAATCACAACACCTTTGATTAACTCCAATGCTTTAGCTCTTTGAAATAATATATTCAAACCCTTAGCCACTATATTAAAAAGAAAGGGAGATAGTGGATACCCTTGTCTGAGTCCTTTTTCTGGGCAGAATTGATTAGTCGGGACACCATTAACAAGAACTGAAACTCTAGCTGATTGTATACACACCTTCATCTACATAATCCACTTATCCTGGAAGCCAAAGCTTGACAACATATCAAAGAGATACTCCCAATTTACAGTATCATATGTTTTTTCAAAATTACTCCCTTCTTCCCTTTCATCTCCCACCAATCCACTACTTCATTGGATACTAAAATTCCATCTAAAATGTTCCTCCCACCAATGAAAGCGGACTGAGATTCTCCAATTATTTTAGGTAATACCTTCTTAAGTCTAGAAGCTAGAACCTTAGACGAAATTTTGTACAGATATCCAATAAGGCTAATTGGTCTATAATCTGAAACACCACCTGGATTCTCATTCTTAGGTATCAATGTGATGAAAGAACTATTAATACCTTTTGCTAAGCATCCATTATCATAGAATTCCTTGAAGAATTGCAAGATATCCTTTTTAAAAACTTTCCAACAATTTTGAAAGCAAAACAAGTTGAAACCTTCAGGTCCTGGTGCCTTATTTCCATTACTCTCTCTAATAGCTCTCCAAATCTCCTCCTCTGAAAAAGGAGTGACTAGCCCATTAGAATCACTATCTTGACCAATGGACTTGAAAACACCTTGGGGCTTAGGTCGAAATTTCCACTCTTCAGAGAATCTGCTTTTAAAGTGTTTAGCTACCTCAAATTTGATCTTTTGTGGATCCTCATGAATCTCCACATCCACTTCAATTGAATTCAACAGATTTTTACCTTGCCTGCTTGTAGCTATGACATGAAAGAATCTTGTATTCTTGTCTCCTTTTAAACTCCAATTAACTCTAGACTTCTGCCTCCATAACTATTCTTCTCTCCTACTTAATGACCATATTTCCTTTCGAACTTCTCTCATTCTTTTAACCTTATTCTCCATAAGACTTCTAGATTCAACCGCTGGATCAATGGCATAGAGCTCCTTCTCCATTGCTTTCAATGAATGAGTAACATTCCCAAAGACCTCCATATTCTATCTTTTCAAAACTGAACGTAGAGCCTTCAGCTTATTCATAATAACAAAACCTGCCCAGGCAGTAATTGCAAAATCATCCCACAACTTCTTTACAACTTCTCCAAATTTCAGATGTAGAGTCCAAGCATTTATAAAGCAGAATGGCTTGGGACCCCAATCCCTGCCATTCTCAACCAGTAACAGGGGGCAATGATCTAAAACACTTCTCTCTAAACCCCATAACTTTAATTTCAACCTTTCTACCCACTCCGTTGACATGAGTACTCTGTCAATTCTACTCCATCTTTCTCCTTCATTAGAATTGCACCATGTGAACTGTCTTCCCAACATGGATAAATCAAGAAGCTCCATATTTTCTATAAATAAATTAAACTCTTTCATCCCTCTATCTCTTTTAGAACACCACCTTCTTTCTCTAAGATTCCGTATCTCATTGAAGTCACCAGCCAGACACCAAGGATTACATAATCTAGATCTCAATCCATACAGCACATTCCAGAATCTACTTCTCTCATTAACTTCATTTGGAGCATGAACATTGACAAGGACACAGTTAAAATTTGGAAGAAAAGTACTTGAGAGTACAATGCTATGCCTTGTACTACAACACTGGGATAGCTTGAAAGCTGTTGGTTTCCAAATGCACAGAAGCCCACCAGCTCTCCCTTCAGAGTTGACTACCATGAATTCCATTTCATCCACAGGCCATAATGATTTTACAAAATCTGGTGTAACCTCAGTTTTCTTTGTCTCTTGGAAAAAAGCAAAATCAATTTTCCTATCTTTAAGTAGTAATTTGACCCTCCTTCTCTTTTCAGCTTTACCCAAACCCCTTACATTCCATGATAAGAACTTCATTAAGACACAAAACAAAGCACCTGCATCCACCTGATACAATTAATCAACTTCGCACATCAGCTCCCATCTGTGCATCTACAACCCTAAATGCTGTATTAACTTTATCCTTAAGCTCCATAGCTCTCAACTTTTCTTTCACCTCTCATTCCTTTCTACCAAAGCATATGTTTAAAGCTTTGTCCATACAAATTGTTGCTTCTGCCTCCTCTTAAGGTGACATATCAGTGCTTAAACTTCTCCCAATCGACTCCAATCTTGATCTTGACCCAGAAATTTCTTTACTTGTGCCTTTCCTTTGAGCACCCGACCTTGCTTTTGACCCAGCTTTTGCTCTAAGGACAGCACCTCTGCTCCAGCTTCCCATTCCCACTGCACCTCCTTTCCTTTTTTTTCTCCCTCCACTTGTTCTCCCATGTTTATCCACCAAGATTCTACTGTCATTCCTCCTTATTAACTTTTTCCTCTATTTAATCTCCCCCATTTTCCCAACTGTGTTTCCAATAGAATATCACTACAACAAAATGCACATTCGGTGACCAAAATTGGCAACTAAAAAAAATTAGTCGCCAAAAGTTGTGGAATTGGCGACCAAAAATTTTTTTAGTCGGAAAAAGTAAAATATTTAGTTACTAATTTTTTTTAGTCAGGGTATATTGGTTTGTGGCGACCAAAAAAAAAATTTAGTAGCTAAAAATACCAGAATTGGCAACAAAAAAAAAAATTAGTCACCATATATTGAGTTTCGGCTACTAAAATCATTTTGTCGCCAAATGGAAAATAAAAAATTATTTTTTTACCTTTTTTTGGTCACCAAAAGTTTATTTTCAGCAACAAAAAATAATTTTAGTCGCCATATATTGAGTTTTGGTTATTACACCATTTAGTCACCGAATGAAATATAAACAATTATTTTTTTACCTTTGGTGACCAAAATTTTGGTCGCCAAAAGTTTATTTTCAGTGACAAAAAAATTTTAGTCACCAAAGAACTAAAATTTTTTGAAGGGAGACATTTCGAATATTTTGAAGAGATTTATAAAATACTTTTAGCGACTAAAAATATATTAGTCGCTATTGTTCAATCTTTAGCTGCAAAATATTTAGTCGTTATTTATTCTTATTTTGCGACAAAAAATTTATTTAGTTGCTGAAGGTTGTAGTATTTGTTTTAGAGGGAAACAAATTATTTTTGGCGCCCGATATATTTACACTTTGTTCTGCCTCTCACACACACGCGCAATATACACTTCTGTCTCAGACACTACCAAACCTCAACCCCACTCACCACCAGCGCTCATCATCGGCGCTCGCCACCGTCGTACTTCACCACCACAACCTGCAAATCACCACCGCCACATAATCACAGGTATTTTTCTCTTTCTGTCGCTCTCAGGCTCTCTTCCTCTCTGTCGCTCTCAGTCTCTCTTCCTCTCTGTCGATCTCATTCTCTCTCCCTCTCTGTCTATCTTGGCCTCTCTCTTTCTCTCTCTTTCTCTTGGCTCTACTAGTTTCAAGTATATATATTGAACTCAATTTGTTCACGGCATTAGCATTTCTTTGGTGTCAGCAAATAGAGATGAGCATATGGGACCAATGGATAGAAGAGGCACTTTCCAAGTTGGAATCTCTGAAACTCCACCGTTCTCTCAGACCCATTCACCTCCACATCAATGAACAATCGAAACCCATTGATACCCAGATGAAGAATGCTTCAAACTACGATAAATTCGAGGTGTTTGATGGTTTGCGGCAATGGGATAGGGCATCTATTGAAGTAGTGATTGCTAATAGCACATTTCAGAGATGGGTTCATGAGGTTCCGAGTTGTGGTACGGTTAATTTAATTGGGTTTCATTTTGTTTTCTTGTGTTTCATCTTTTTGTGGGTTTGCTTTGATTTGAATGAGTTCTTAGTTTTTGAATTCAGCACATTAACATTGTTTTCATTCAATGTTATTTGTGGGAAAATTATATGGTGATGTATGAATTGTGGTCTGAATTATGGATCATGTGGTGCTTTGTTATGAGAATTTGTGGTGAACTTGGTTGTGAGACTTTATGGTGATATTTTATTATTATTATTATTATGATTCAATTTGATTTTGGTTATGCCTCTTTGTAGTGTTTGTTTACAAACCGAAGAGGTCTTGGTTATGAGCTTTTGTAGTTTTTTGTTATAGACTGAAGTGGCCTTGGTTATTATGAGTCATTAGTGGTGTTTTTGTTTATGAACTAATGTGGTTTTGGTTATGAGTGACCCAAATTGATGAAATTTATTTGAGAAATAAGGGAATTGTTATATTAAAATAAAGTTGTAACTCTTCATCTGTGGTCGAAGTCTAGTAACTAAATAGGGAAATTCCTCACCATGACAATGCTACATAGTTTTTCTTGCTTCAAAGTATGGCAATTTCTTTCTATACATTTTAGCTCCCCAAAATATAGAAGAATGGACTAAAGGGTTGGCCTAGTGGATGTGTGCTCCCCTGCCAAGTTTGATGCCTAGGTTCAAGTCTTATCGCTGTAAGTGCAGGGGCCTGCCTTCAGAAGTTTAGAAAGCTACTTTTATTTTCTGAAAATGATTACTTGGGCTTGAGTTCACATCCTACAGTTTCAAAAGCTGCTACAAATGTGGATTTAATCATTAATAGTCAACAACATTTTATTTACTTTGTTTGTATTAACTATTTTTTAGACATTTGCCTAAGTTGTTTTGGCAGCCCTAGCACATGGAATGGGCCCAAGGGGTTCTGCTTTAATCTGTGGGTATGCAAGTTACCATGGACTGCTTGAGTCATGCTTGGCAAACTTGAAGAAGAAAGAGGTATTGACTTTATTCTGTGTATTGCAATCAATCGTTCATTGGGAGTCAGGATCATTTGTACATTTTATCAATTTATATTTACATTTACTTACTGAAAAGGTTAATTTATTCTTCTCCATTGTGTTAACACTTGCTGGTATGGAATAATGAAACATTACAATAGAGGGACTGCTATGTGTAAACATGAACAAATGTGTGATGGAAACATGATCAGTATGTTGGATCAATAGCAGCATATCATGAATAAACTGCATCTTCTGAATTCACATGTACAATATATTCTTCAATATGGTTTGATGTTTCAGGCTGTTGATGTTTTCTGAATTTGTATTCCAGGGCATGATCCCATTATTTAGTTCAGAAGATACGGTAAATCTTTGACTTCTAGGGTTAGGGAACTAGAAAGTTTTACTCTGGGATTACAATTTAGGGAAAAGGAAATTTAAGTCTGATTCAGAAAATTAGTGTAATTTATATTTAATTATTGGTAACATTTGTTTGCTTTAGTTTGTGGCAAAATGGGTTGTCTCAATTTTACTCTTGTGAAAGGTCACTGATGCTCATAATATTCTCATCAAGATGTATGCTTATATTATAGCCTTATGCATGATATAATTAATAAAGTGATAAGGTGCAATAAACTATGTTTGAAAGCATTATTACAACCTTAGATTGGTGGTTGGGTCGAGGTGCCCCACTTAACCCCGATGATTCATATGTGCATTATTAGAAGAAAATATATATATATATATATATATATGAAAGCATTATTAGAAAATATATATATATAAATTTCATATTATAACTCCAAATAAATTTACACACGCATCGAAACCGTTAGTACTATGTAAAACTCTTTTGTCTCTATTATTGGCATCCCAGTCATAATTCTCAAGAGTATATGTGTTTTGTCATATCTTCCTTTTGCCTCCCTTTTGTGTTTGATAAGGTTGAAAGAAAATCTAAGATCCAAGCAAGAATGCAACTGAGATGGATTGGTCTATAATAGGTAGTGTAGTGGCAAAGTGTGATATTGGTCTACTCCAAACATTATGATATGTGTCTCTCATAATAGAAAAGTGCATTTTTGATAACAAATGTAAAATAAAAATATTAGTTCTAAAATATTAGACACTCACAATTTCCCTATAATAATAATTTCTCTATAATAATAATGATGAGAGAGTTGAATCTTATATAATTAAATTTATGACAAATAAAAAATGTCTTAAATTATACATTTTGTTGAATCACTCACAATTTCTCTATAATAATAATTTCTCTATAATAATAATGATGAGAGAGTAGAATCTTATATAATTAAATTTATGACAAATAAAAAATGTCTTAAATTATACGTTTTGTTGAATCACTCACAATTTCTCTATAATAATAATTTCTCTATAATAATAATGATGAGAGAGTAGAATCTTATATAATTAAATTTATGACAAATAAAAAATGTCTTAAATTATACGTTTTGTTGAATCACTCACAATTTCTCTATAATAATAATTTCTCTATAATAATAATGATGAGAGAGTAGAATCTTATATAATTAAATTTATGACAAATAAAAAATGTCTTAAATTATACGTTTTGTTGAATCACTCACAATTTCTCTATAATAATACGATTCAATATTTATATATTTCTAGTGTAAAAGATTTAAAACAGCCATGTTGGATTTTATCACTTGGTTTAGAGCCAGGTTCAGGAGAATTTTATCACTTGATTTAAGTGGCAATGTTGGATATTGTTAAATTTTTTATGAATCATAGTCTCATAAATTCATTCTGCAATGTTTATTATGTTTCTTTTGACAGTTCCAATTCAATAATTAAGAAAAAGGATTGGAACTTGTGGATTGATGCTGGAAAGAATGTGGTGAGGAAAGAGAATACAGAGGCCGCCGTGAAGAGGGTGATGGACGGTGGTGATGATGACAGAGAAAGCTAAAGTGTTGGGAGAGATGGCATTGAAAGCTGTTAAAGAAAGTGGATCACCTCATAGAAATTTGACGGTATTGATTGAAGAGCTTGAGCAACTAAGAGATCAAAGGACTAAGGATGATTGAGTGTTATTATATTGTCTATGTCTCTGTTCTTCACTGCTTATTACATTTTGTTGAAATAAGGCATTCGAATGGCTTTTAATAGTTAAATTTTGTATACTGTTGGAAATTGAATGCTATAGGTTGTAGAGAAATATTTTTATTGAATGGTTGAGAATTGAATGAATAGATGAATAATTTTGTATATCCAAAGGTTTCAGGTGGCGCAAAAAATATTACAGAACAAATTATAAAAACTAAATGAGACCTTTCGGTGACTAAACAAATATCACAAGTTGGCTTTTGGCTACTAAAATTTTAGTCACCAATTGTGAAATAGTAAAACTTTTGGCTACTACAATTTTGGTCGCCAATTGTAAAAAATAAACTTTTGGCTACTAAATGTTTAGTAGCCAATTCTCAAAAAGTGAAACTTTTGGCTACCAAAAATTTAGTCGCCAAACATACATGCTCAATTGGCTACTAAATAATTTAGTCACTAAAAGTAAAAATATACATATTTAATTATTTTTGAAAAA